TTTGAATAAAAAAAACATTATCAGCAAAACTTGATATATTAATATATTGGTAGCATGTTCCTCTCTTTAAAAAGTCAACCTGTTCTGTGAGTTAGTGGAGAACAGAAGCTAGTGGCTAATTTAGTAACAGTAACGTTAGTTAAGCTGATGGAAGCTCACCTGTTGTTAGCACCGCTACGATGGCAATCACAGGAAAAGACTCCAATACACCTCCGATGCAGACGACATGACCACAAACTTGAAAATAAAATACAAAAGATGTTCTTAACAGTGGTGTTTCTTAACTCAGTTTTCCTCAGTAGTTACTGTCTCAATTCGGCGTGGCATGGAGGTGACTGCTTTTGGCAGTGTGGGCAGGTGCCAAATCCTGCTGGAAAATGAAATCAGCATCTTCAAAAAGCTGGTCAGCAGAAGGAAGCATGAAGTGCTCCAAAATTTCTTGGTAAACGGGTGCAGTGACGTTGGTTTTCAAAAAGCACAATGGACCAACACCAGCAGATGACATTGCACCCCAAATCATCACAGACTGTGGAAACTTAACACGGGACTTCAAGCAACTTGGGCTATGAGCTTCTCCACCCTTCCTCCAGACTCTAGGACCTTGGTGTCCAAATGAAATACAAAACTTGCTCTCATCTGAAAAGAAGACTTTGGACCACTGGGCAACAGTCCAGTTCTACTTCTCTTTATCCCAGGTAAGAGGCCTCTGACATTGTCTGTGGTTCAGGAGTGGCTTAACAAGAGGAATATGACAACTGTAGCCAAATTCCTTGACACATCTGTGTGTAGTAGCTGTTGATGCCTTGACCCCAGCCTCAGTCCATTCCTTGTGAAGTTCACTCAAATTCTTGAATCGATTTTGCTTGACAATCCTCATAAGGCTGCGGTTCTCTCGGTTGGTTGTGCATCTTTTTCTTCCACACTTTTTCCTTCCACTCAACTTTCTGTTAACATGCTTGGATACAGCACTCTGTGAACAGCCAGCTTCTTTGGCAATGAATGTTTGTGGCTTACCCTCCTTGTGAAGGGTGTCAATGATTGTCTTCTGGACAACTGTCAGAGCAGCAGTCTTCCCCATGATTGTGTAGCCTAGTGAACCAAACTGAGAGACCATTTTGAAGGCTCAGGAAACCTTTGCAGGTGTTTTGAGTTGATTAGCTGATTGGCATGTCACCATATTCTAATTTGTTGAGATAGTGAATTGGTGGGTTTTTGTTAAATGTGAGCCAAAATCATCACAATTAAAAGAACCAAAGACTTAAACTACTTCAGTCTGTGTGCACTGAATTTATTTAATACACGAGTTTCACAATTTGAGTTGAATTACTGAAATAAATGAACTTTTCCACGACATTCTAATTTATTGAGATGCACCTGTAGGTGACCTTAACTTACTCACCAGTAGGGTTGGGTATCGTTTGAATTTTATCGATTCTGATTCCGATTCTTATCGATTCCTAGTTTCGATTCCAATAAGATAAAAAATCCAATATAAAAAAAATTAAGTCAAACATTTAGATGTCAAACATTTATTCTGTCTTTTTACAAAGCATTCTGTTGCAGCTGAATAACACGAGCAAAAATCAGCAGCCTACAGAACACTGCAAGAGGAATTTTGCCTATGCTTTTAAAAAAATACCACGGCAAAAAACAACTAGATTAATATATTTAATATATATATATACATTTCAAATATTAAAGTGTTAAAGACAAGTAAACAGTCAGTAATAAGATAGGAACAAACAAATCAATTAGCAATATCATAAATAAATACAACTGAAAAAAATTTCAGGTACAGAACCTGTAATTAAAAGTTTAAAACACTGCATAGTTTTCTTTTCATAAATAAAATATAGATTAATCAGTTAAAGTTATTAAATATATTCAGTCAAGATCAGTGAATGATTTTCTTTTGTTCTTTGATTAACATTAATGACAGGCAGCGCATTTATTAGGCTGCTGTCACTTTAACACAGAACGCACGTAGATTTAAAAAACTGTACATGTGTTTTCTTTCTCATCTGTTTACGTTCACATAAGACAAAAACGGCTGTGTTTATGATGATATACTGACATAGTTTTCTGCATATTGGTCGACAAATATGAACTAAGTCAGTTTCGGACCGAAACAAGCTTTTTTTACATTGGAAATACACGGAACGGTTCGAGAACGGAAACAAACCCACCAACCCTACTCACCAGTCGATGTTATCAGCCTTTTGGCGGCATTCCGGCCGTCAGTCAGAAAAAAAGGCTCCAACTCCCGACATGAAAAATGACACGATGAATAATGTTAGTTTGCTGTTAACAAGTGAAAATATCTTAAAATATCGCAGTTTTGCATTAAACTGAAATAATATACTAACTTTTTTGTCGAGTTAACTGTGTATTTCTCTTTTGTCCTTTTATGGCCAGATTGGCCACTTCAATCAAACAGTCAAAAAAGAAATCTTCCTTGCCATTGGTCAGTTTTTTTGCGGGCAAGTTCACTACTGTAAATTGATTTACAGTAGTGAGGAAATACAGTAGTGACCATATTTTCCCATAATGCTTTGCTGTTTACAGTAAAATACTGTATAAACATTTTACATATGATTAATTCACATATGATGCCACAAATCTGGCCCAGTTATCCTAAAGTGTATAGTTATGGCAAAGATATGGCACAGTAAGCACTGGCTAATGTGTCTGTAAGCTTAAGGTGGCCCGTATATAATGATACCAATGTGGCCCAGTTATCCTAAACTATATCTAGGCCAGTTTTGGGAAAGATATGGCATGGTAAGCACTGGCTAATGTGGCTGTGAGCCTAAAGTGGCCCGCATATGATGCCACAACTGTGGCCCAGTTATTAAAACCGTATCTGGGCCAATTTTGGGAAAGATATGGCATGGTAAGCACTGCATATGTGGCTGTGAGCCTAAAGTGGCCCGCATATGATGCCACAACTGTGGCCCAGTTATACTCAAATGTATCTGGGCCAGTTTTGGCAAAGATATGGCATGATAAGCACTGGCTAATGTGGCTGTTAGTCTAAAGTTGCCCGCATATGATGCCACAAATGTGGCCCAGTTATCCTAAAGTGTATCTGGGCCAGTTTTGGCAAATATATGGCACGGTAAGCACTGGCTAATATGGCTGTGAGCCTAAAGTGGCCTGCATATGATGTCACAAATATGGCCCAGTTACCCTCAAACGTATCTGGGACAGTTTTGCAAAGATAAGCACTGCCCAGATAGCAAAATCCTGAGGCCCAGGTCAGGCCCACACCTGACACTTTCATCTGGCCCACATACCGCGTGGAATGATGGCAATTGTGTGGTCTGCTCCTGTTTGCCAGATTTGGGCCACAAGCAAGCCAAAAGAAGGCCCAATGTCAGCCATGGATTAACCAAATAAAGCAGAACTGGTCCAAATCTGGGCCACATTAATTTCAATTCTGGCCCAGATCCAACACCTTGCTCTGGCCCACATACTGTGAAGAATGATGGCATTTGGGCGGTCCACTCCTGTTTGCCAGATTTGGTCCACGAGCAAGCCAAAAGAAGGCCCAATGTCAGTCATGAATAAACCGAATAAACCAGAACTGGCCCAAATCTGGGCCACATTTATTTGAATTCTGGCCCAGGTACGGCCCAGATCTAACACCTTGTTCTGGCCCAAATACTATGTAGAATGATGGCATTTGTGTGGTCCACTCCTGTTTGCCAAATTTGGGCCACAAGCAAGCCATAGGAAGGCCGCATGTTAGCCATGACAATAAATAAATAAAATAAAGTAAAACTGGCCCAAATCTGGGCCACATTTATTTTAATTTTGGCCCAGATCCAACACCTTGCTCCGGCCCACATACTGCGTGGAATAATGGCATTTGGGCAGTACAGTTCTGTTTGCCAGATTTGGGCCTCGAGTAAGCCTTAGCATTGCTGCATGTAAGCCAACCAAATAAACCAAAACTGGCCCTAATGTGGGCCACAGTTGATTTTTATGCTAACCCTGGTCTTCCCCACATTCCTTTTGTCGCCCACATGCTGCATGGAACAGTGGCATTTTGACAGTGGTCCACAAGCAGGCCACTACACAGCCACATTTTAGCTAATAATGAACTAAATAAACCATAAATATACATTATCTGGGCCACACTAAGCCTTAAGTGAGTTATGCATCAACAATACTCAGAATTGTAAAGAGAAATTTAAAAATGTCCTCCATAAATGTTCAAATAAGTTCCAGAAATGTGCCCTACTTGATAAAATCATCCTGACACAAGTTTTGCTCAAGCCGCAATTAAAATGTCACAGATAAATATTCAAAGACACATTCCAGTACTTTAAAAACTGTTCTTCACAAGTTTGAACTTAAATGCTTCTCACTCAGACTCTACCTACACAGTAAGTCTGTGAGTGTCATAGCTACACTGTGTTAAAGAGCGCACAACAAAGATGAAAGGTTATATATCATAATCTTTAATCCAACAAGGGTAAATCCAAACACAATGCAGCACATTGTATTCAACATAAGAAAGCAACTCATACAGGTTTGGAACGACATGAGGGTGAGTAAATGATGACAGAATTTTCATTTTTGGGTGAACTATCCCTTTAAGGCTGTATGAGGTCCTCCTTTTGAGCTGCTCAAAACGACCAATAAATATTATAAAATATATCAATTTTATATGAATAAATATTATCTGAACAGTTTAATTTTTATATTTATTTACATCTGGCTCACAATTTTGGCAATCTTTTTAAAAATTTAAAAGCAGGCTTATACTTAATAAACATGTAGTAATACTTCTCACTACAAAACCTGTGCCGCTAATGTTTTATAAATAGTACTTGGATAATAAATGTACCCAATTCAAATGAATGCATCAAAATGTTTATACTTCCTACTGTTTTCTCAAGTTGCACATGTTTTTTCCTTTCACATTTATTTTTTTTTTTTTAAAGATTTTCTGAAAACTTTTTTTTAAATAAACATTTTTACTTTAATTTTAGACTTGATAGAAGAGAACAAGGAGATTGAAGAACTGATTAAAGAGGGGGAGAACCATCATGTCAAAACTGAAGAAACACTCTGGAAATCCTCATTGATAAGAAGAGACAAAACATGGCCTGAGTGTGAAAAGAAAGCAGTTAAAAGCAGTAAAAAAAAATTTAGACCACATTTCCTGAAGGACCGCCTGAAAGTTCATACAAAGGACAAGCCTTATGTATGTTATTTATGTGGAAAGAGTTTTAGTCAGATGGCTGCTTTAAAGATACACCAGAAAAGACACAGCGGAGTGAAGGATCATGCATGCTCTGAGTGTGGGAATACTTTTTTTACGTATGGTGCGATGAAAGTGCACCAGACAGTTCACACTACAGAAACACCTTACAAGTGTTCACACTGTGACAAGAGATTCAAACGGGCAGAATATCTGAGGATACATGAGAGGATCCACACTGGAGAGAAGCCGTATACATGTGATCAATGTGGGAAGAGCTTCAGACTAAAAGAAATGCTTAATCAACACATGAATATCCACAGTGGAGGGAAGCCTCACACATGTGATCACTGTGGGAAGAATTTCACACAAAAAGGAAACCTTATCAAACACATGAAAAGACACACTGAAGAGAAGCAACACACATGTGATCAGTGTGGGAAAACTTTTGTGCATAAAGGAAACCTTAAAGACCACATGAGAATCCACACTGGAGAGAATCTACATACGTGTGATCAGTGTGGGAAAACGTTTGTGTTTAAAGGAAACCTTAAAGACCACATGAATATCCACACCGGAGAGAAGCCATACACATGTGATCAGTGTGGGAAGAGTTTCAGACAAAAAGGAGCTCTTAATGTACACATGAGGATTCACACTGGAGAGAAGCCGTATGCATGTGATCAGTGTGGGAAGAGTTTCAGACTTAAGCAAACTCTTAACGAACACATGATGATCCACACTGGAGAGAAGCCGTATGCATGTGATCAGTGTGGGAAGAGTTTCAGACTTAAGCAAACTCTTAACGAACACATGATGATCCACACTGGAGAGAAGCCGTACACATGTAATCAGTGTGGGAAGAGTTTCACACAAAAACAAGCCCTTGATGTACACATGAGGATCCACACTGGTGAGAAGCCGTACACATGTGATCAGTGTGGAAAGAGTTTCTCACAAAAAGGAGCCCTTGATGCACACATGAGGATCCACACTGGAGAGAAGCCGTACACATGTGATCAGTGTGGGAAGAGTTTCAGACTTAAGCAAACTCATAATGAACACATGAGGATCCACACTGGAGAGAAGCCGTACACATGTGATCAGTGTGGAAAGAGTTTCAGAAAATGTGATGTTTTTAAAAAACATCTGCTTACTCATTCTAGAGAGAGACTAGAAAACTGTGGCCAAAGCAGAAGAACATTTCTAAAGGACCGTCTGAAAGCTCATACAAAGAAGAAGCCTTACATATGTTATTTATGCGGAAAGAGTTTTAGTCAGATGGCTGCATTAAAGATACACCAGAAAAGACACATCGGTGTGAAGGATCATGCTTGCTCTAAGTGTGGGAAGACTTTTTTTACATATGGTGCGATGAAAGTGCACCAGACAGTTCACACTACAGAAACACCTTACAAGTGCTCACACTGTGACAAGAGATTCAAACGGTCAGACTACCTGAGAATACATGAGAGGATCCACACTGGAGAGAAGCCATATACATGTGATCAATGTGGGAAGAGCTTCAGACTAAAAGAAATGCTTAATCGACACATGGATATCCACAATGGAGAGAAGCCACACACATGTGATCAATGTGGAAAGAATTTCAAACAAAAAAGAAACCTTATCAAACACATGAAAAGACACACTGAAGAGAAGCAACACACATGTGATCAGTGCGGGAAGGGTTTCTTAGACAAAGGAAACCTTAAAGACCACATGAATATCCACACTGGAGAGAGGCCACACACATGTGATCAGTGTGGCAGGAGTTTCGCACATAAAGGAAACCTTTTCAAACACATGAAAAGACACACTGGGGAGAAGCCACACACATGTGATCAGTGTGGGAAGAGTTTCGCAGAAAAGGCAACCCTTAATGAACACATGAGGATACACACTGGAGAGAAACCATACACATGTGATCAGTGTGGGAGGAGTTTCACACAAAGAGGAACCCTTGTTGCACACAAGAAAACCCACACTGGAGAGAAATCATATACCTGTGATCAGTGTGGGAGGAGTTTCACACAAAGAGGAACCCTTATTGTACACAAGAAAACCCACACTGGAGAGAAGTTATATACCTGTGATCAGTGTGGGAGAAGTTTCACACAAAGAGGAACCCTTATTCTACACAAGAAAACCCACACTGGAGAGAAGCCATATACATGTGATCAGTGTGGGAAGAATTTCAAACGAAAAGATAGACTTCATGATCACATGAGGATCCACACTGGAGAGAAGCCGTACACATGTGATCAGTGTGGGAGGAGTTTCACACAAAGAGGAAACCTTATTGCACACAAGAAAACCCACAGTGGAGAGAAGCCATATACATGTGATCAGTGTGGGAGGAGTTTCAAACGAAAAGATAGACTTCGTGATCACATGAGGATCCACACTGGAGAGAAGCCGAACACATGTGATCAGTGTGGGAGGAGTTTCACACAAAGAGGAACCCTTATTGCACACAAGAAAACCCACAGTGGAGAGAAGCCATATACATGTGATCAGTGTGGGAGGAGTTTCAAACGAAAAGAAAGCCTTCATGATCACATGAGGATCCACACTGGAGAGAAGCCGTACACATGTGATCAGTGTGGGAAGAGTTTCATACGAAGAGTAACCCTTTACAAACACAAGAAAACCCACAGTGGAGTGAAACAGCACCAGACAGTTCACACTACAGAAACACCTTACAAGTGCTCACACTGTGAAAAGAGCTTCAAACGGTCAACACATCTACAAATACATGAGAGGATCCACACTGGAGAGAAGCCGTATCACTGCCATTCATGTGGGAAGAGATTCACAAAATTATATTCTTTAATCTGTCATAAATTACATGTCTGCATGTCTGAAATTACAGTAAGTAGATGAAGTTCTGATCCTGTACTTCCAGGTGCTAGGTAGGGCTGCATCAAATAATCAGAGATTATTAGAACGATTAATCAACTATTCGTTGATTATTTCACAGATTAATCAGTATCTTTATTAATTATTTGGCTTGTGGAGTTTAAAATGTTGAGTTACACCCATTCTAAATAATAAATAAAACAAGGAAATCACTTCCGTTTTTGAAAATTTATTTTTAATATATTGAGTAAACTGAGTTATTATCCTCTTCAGGTTTTCTGTCCTCCTCAGTAGTCATCAATACACCAACTTTGCTCAGAACTGAAACACAAAAATAAAAGGGCATTTCACAACACATAGGAGGCTAAAATATTCATCTACAAACTATTGTTACTTAGATCCCCTTGTGAGCACTGTGGCCGGCAATCTTGAGAACGCTGAGGCTTGTCTGAGTTAAATTTTATAATTAAGACAAATGTTTTCAGAGATGAAGGCATACATGTTATATTTTGTGTGTGTGTAAATGAATCTCTTAACACTAATTGCCAATAATGTGGCCACTGGGAGACCACAGGCAGTTGTTTATTCACTGCAGTGCATTAGGGCTAATAGAAAGCTAGTTAATGTAAAGATTTTTAATAGTACTATTAATAGCATTAATAGTATTTTCGTGCCATGACCATGGGGGCCGGAACATGTGCAACATGCGCACTTACACTTAATTTCATTTAATTAGGCAAAAATTTAACATTTTATGCTCATTTTGAGCACCAAATACGTGCTGTATAGTTGATGTTTCTCACTAAGCAACTGCATGCAGTGTAAGATGACGAACAGGTTTGAGCCAGGCATGAATCATTTTAACACCTAATTTTTTTATTAACCTCACCTATATAAATATACAGCATCACACCATCTTCTTTTGGCCTAAAGTAATGACATATATGTATGGTTAAGGCTGATTGGCCTCTCACCAATGAGAAACCTTTAGGCACACCCATTTCTCTGGTGCAGTAGCTGTCTCTAAAACTAAAAAGAAGCAGGTTAGAAATAAAATCAATAATCAAAAAGAATATTTAGAAATTATGGCAACACCATTGGGACACGTATATCAAATGTAAACATTTGTATCAAATACAGTCAGCAGTGGGTAAGGGAAGAGTATCAGGTTGGAGCAGAACTGAGGAGAACATAATTACAAGGTTGAACAGTAGCTACAATGCATTTAATAAGCAAACATCCAACAGATCTATGTGAGGTATGTGACGTTAATGAATCAGTTGAACATGTTATAATGTACTGTAGGAAATATACTCTGGAAAGAAATTAGTTAAAGAACGAATTAGAGAATACGGGTGAGTTCACAATTAAGAATTTATTCAATCCAGGTAGAAATATAATACCATTTGTTACAATATTTGGGAAGTACTGGTTTGCACAAGCGAATATAAGTATGCTTTTTTTATGTAATCTAAATCCTGCCAAGAGGGCTGAGGGTGGACAGAGGAGCTGAACACGCAGTGCTGGATGAAGCTCTATAAAGACTCTAAAAGGGTACAAGACTCGAGGGTGATTGAATGTGGGTTGTTAGGCAAATCAGGATTGTAGATAGAGGCTGTGTCCGATATGGCATACTCAATGAGTAGGTCATTTCAATAAGTACTTACTTAACAAGTGCTAAAAGAGTACATACTCTACAGGGCAGGCAAATCTCGTTGAGTCTGAATGCGATCCGGACTTCATCCGCCATGTTGACGTCGTCATGTGACCTATGACATTAACAAGCGCAACAACTTAAAAGATATGAGCGACAGGTTTAATGAATCTATCTGTAAATATTTTGATGTTGAAGAAATTTGCTCATTTTGTGGTCTTGAAGAAACAGCTGCCCTTTTATTGTGATTGTAGTATAACCAATGCAGAGTTCTGGCATGAAACTCTAGATGGCACAGTCCGATATGTCTAACTCAATAGCCGCGTTTCCACTGTCGGGCCAAAAGCGGGCGTGCTAGTGCGTGCCAGGGCCAGTTGCCTCATTTATAAAATGTTGTGTATAAACCGTCCTAAATTTGTTCTAAGATCATTTCTCAAAAGTGCATAAGTGCGATTCAGAGAAAACAAACGTGCGCACAAAAACACGTGGGAACGCCTCTCTTCCAGATGTGACATTTATAAATCGCAAATGATCTTGAAATTGTGCGCAGCTGACTGGTGTCAGATCTCTGCCTTGTATCCGCCCCCTAATTAATATCATTACCATATAAAAGAGTTTACGCCAATATCAGAATTTCTATGCTTGAGAATGGCGAGCACAAAGAAAAAAAAAACTTTACTGAGTCTGAAATTGAGGTCCTGCTGGCGGAGGTGGAGGTTCGTGCGGGGACGCTTTTTATTTAATAATGTGTAATTATTCTGTGGACAAGCAAGTGTGTAGTTACATTTTTCTATTGACTATTATCAAAATTACTATGTCTAGAAACAACAGAAATAATAATAGTAGTAATTATAAAACAATTAGGTTTCCAAAACTACGAATTCAAGTAAAATTTTCAGTCATCTTATAGCCTATACCTCTTGTTGGATTTATACGAATTAAATAAATTTGTTTTCGATTGTTTCATTTAAGTAGACCATTAAAGCTGCAGACATAGGGCCTATTTTACAAAAACAATTTGTAACGTTTTGTTGTTATTGTGGAAGTCCACAACATAAAGCAGACATTCTTTCCTCTGTTATCACAATGCAAGGGATCGCGCCGGCGCCGCCAACCCGAGAAGTGCAGTGTTGCGCTTTGTATGCGATAGGCTAGCCTATATTTGCAAGAGCCTATGCAGCAGCCAAACATGAAGAAATGTTATTGAGACTAACTTGCTGAGCCGCACATCAGATGAACTCTTATCCTGCGTGATGGGACAGACATAGGCTTGAAAAGTGTCATTTCAGCACATTAGCATAAGCTTTTATTATTTTACTCTCAAATAAACTAGCTTAATTTTCGTTTATCCGTTTCTTGGACAAAACCCAATAATAATAATAATAATAATACAAACCACGTTGTCATTTCTTTATTTCTTTTTGTTCTTATTTCGATTTGGTGTTAAATCAAACTTGACTCATTCAAACAAAGAAATATTCCAAGCCCAGAGTCAGTTCAAAATAACTGTTTTGATCTGATCATCTTAAACGAGTCAGATACTCTGGGTCTGAGTGCAGTTATTGGATAGCATAGGCTATATATTGTAGACAGATTGGAGATTAATCCTAATAAACATGCCGCTACAATAAAAACCATGACATTAAAATACATTTAAAACCGTGTATGTCTATGATCCCTCTTGCAGTAACAGCGTGCAGATCCTCGTTTATCTCAGGACTGTGGCGACAGCAGCGGACAATAGCTTAGCTCGCTCACATGTAACTATATATCTTCTATAACAGGAAAAACATATCGAATTGATGACATATGTTGTTATTAGGAGAAAATATATCGTTTTAACGATAAAATATGTCTTTTAATCGAGAAAATTGTCGTTTTGACGACAGTATTATGACATAATTTAGTGGAAATTATAAATAGTGGCAGCAGTGCGTCACTGTAGAAAAAGGCCAGCATTTTGACATTTTTTATTCAACAGAAACGTACCCATATTGTACTCAAAGCATACTGCAAGCAAGCTTATAGCTAAACGAGCAAAACAAGCACTTTCACATGGGAAATCAAATGTAATCAACAATAAAAACCGATACTTACAAGCGTATGCTCACTGCATTTGACACACATCAACTTACACAAAGGATAATAAAATTGCACAATTTGTGTAGATATGATAAAGAAGACGAAGATACACGTGTACCCAATGAAAAAGTACAAATATCACAAGATGAAAGTCCAAATGTTGGTCACATAACGTTAAAAAACAGGATCCTTGAAGTAGATCGCCATTCAACTACTCATGTCTGACTGCCTAGTGCATCAAAGGTGCTGGACTGTGTAGAAAAGGAGGGGCTGATTTTAATATTACAGAAAATGCAGTTTTTTTACACCGTCTTTGTCAAACGGAGCGCCGTAAATTGGCGTATTATGGATGGCCAAACGGCTAAATTAACGGCGTTTTGGATTGCATCAATAAACACAGCGGTAACGGTGGTTCTGTTATGAAAACGCCGTAATTTACACCGTCTGTATCACAAAACGCTGTAAAATAAGGCGTTTTCTGCACACCAGGCATCTGGTTAATGGTGAATTGTGACCCGTTTGGCGTTCCATACTTCTCGCACGTAAAAAGTACACGACTGTCTACTTTCGGTAGGTTATCCATGGCACGATCCACGGCTGCTAAGCCTTCGATCTGTCACATAACACTCGCCATAATCGATAACACTCGCCATAATCGACTCACCATAATCGATAACACTCGCCATAATATGCAGCCTTCGGAGGATGCATCCTTTCATTTGAGAAACACCCTATAGGGATGGGCGTATCGATCCAAAATATCAATATATCGATACTGACGCGAGTATCGATACTCAAACAAAAAATATCGATACTAAGGTGTATTTTATTTACCAGTGATTTTGTTAATTCAACAAAAAAATAAATAATGCGTAAAATATGCATTGAATTGGACGAATAACCTTTGTTAGCGAATAACTGTGTAGGATATAACTATTTTCCTGCTCATCTGAACACACAAATGTTGCAAAACAAAACCAATCAGTCACAGAGAGCGTTCACTCACTTCTGACAGTGCATTCAAACAGGGCTGCTTTTCCCAAAAGTATCATAAGAAAGCATTAAAGCTTTTGGGAATGGCAGCCCTGAACAATGCTTATCAGAGGACAGAAGGAGAGAGTCATTTCACAATAAACAAACTGAAATTGTAGCCTACTTAGCTTGTGCAATTACAGTTATTTAAATTGAACGTTGAAAGATAATATTGTATATCATGTTCTATTTTGTAATGTTAATAGAAATCATACACTGTCAGAATAAAAAGGTTGCATTTTATGCATGTAACAGCCTGTCACTGGCAGTCCCTTATGAAAATGAACCATGGTTTTACTAAAGTGACCATAGTTCAACTGTAGTATTTATAGATTTGAATCATGTGTAAACAAAAAAACGTATCTGAACCATGTGTAAACAAAAATATAACCTAATAAGTTACAATTAAGGCGTATCGAATGCGTTTTAAAC